CCTCTCGCGTGCATGAGCAGCTGGATACGAACAGGTGGAATTTATGCAGCTCATTTACACCCTTTTCCTGAAGATTTTCCTTTGTACGAACAAAAGTAAGAGAAATTTAGGATAAGTATACAAACATGTTCTTGCATGAGGCCCAATATCTCGAACAGTATGGGATGTTGTACTAAAGCAACATCTCAAGACATCAGCCAGGAAGGTTGGGAGCAAATGTGTCTTCCAATGTTCCTGTGCAAGCTGCCAAATTTGTTACAAAGTGGTTTAAAATTTGTAAGCAGAGCTGAGAAGACTGAACAAGGCAGCTTCTACCAGTTCTGTCAGGAGGMACAAAATTCCAGTAAATTCTTGTGAGAAGGTTGTGGAAGAAAACCCAAAACATTTGACCCAAGTCACACAGTTTAAATGCAACTCAACTAAATATTGTAAAAAGTACAAGTAAACTTCTAAGTTTTAGTGTCTATTTACAATTAGAAGAATTCTGTGTATTAATCAACATGCACAATAGTATTCAGACAGAGGCACAAGTACAAAGTTCTGAAGGTGAGGTCTGAAGGATTTTGCCAATAAACTACAACAGTTTTGGCGAAAACAAGCACGACTCTCAACAGAAGTCTCCTTCTAATTAGTAATTTGAAGTTGTGTATTCATAGCAGGCAGTGCTAAAATGTTAGGCAGAAGAATGCTTCAAAAACACAACAGAGAAACAAAACAGCCTGTAAAAGTCATTAAAGACAACAGGAATGTCCCCATGAGACAAAAATACACTGTGTGGAAGATGGGTGAGAATGTTTATGAAGCAGAGAAAACGAACAACTCTTTAATTTATTGTAGCACACATGGTAGTCATTGAAGCAGGACAGTGTCATTTACTGCTGTCTTCTCTCAAGTATGCAGAATATTCCATCTGAAAAGTTGCCTCATATTGTTATAAAACATTAACAATAAAGTGATGAGGGGAGGACACTGCTGAAATGAAAAGGGTGGGGGATTCACATACGTTTGAAATGCCATGACACTCTCTGTGTGTGTGTTTGTGTTGCCCCGAGAAGCTCATGTTTGTTGCGCAGGCAGATGCTAACACGTAGTGACAAAATAGAAATGTGGTTCTGTAAATCTTTTCATGCAAAATTTTTCCCTAGAGGTCAAAGTTTGAAGGTTTCTTTTTTTATTTGTCGCTGCTCTGTATATTTTTGTTACCATAGGTAATACCTTTATTGCTTCAAGGTCTTTARCTCTTATCTGCACTCTTACCTACTTGAAACAGGCTGGACATGCTCAACATTAAYAATCCCAAGTCTCATACAGTAGAGTGTAAAACATTCCAGTTCATACAGCGTTAGACATTTTATCATTCAGCTTCCCAGATATTGATGAAAACAAAATCTTTAATCTTAATCCTGAACAGACTGCACAAGAGGTGACATGTTAACAAAGGGAATTTTACAGCTGGAAACCATTTTTATAACAACTTCCAGTTTTCCAAAAAGTAGAAAACTGTTTGTTACAGCTCAAAAGCAAACATTCATTTGAAAACTTTACTGGGAAAGAATCATAACAAATTTGTTCTCCAGGCAACACCTCAGGTGAGGGAAGATGGAAAGACTTGAGAACTGGCAACTCATATTTTAATTACATGAAAGAAAAGCAACATGTCTCTTCTTTTGCTAAAAGTTAAGCCATGACACACGACATACAGTGCACCGACATAACTGAGAGTTTCACTGACTKAAAGAAAGATCTAAGGAAGAGTCAAACTTAAGACTTCAGATGGATTTTGTGAACAACAAAAATGCAGCAAATTTATGTTTCTAAAT